GTAAAAGCACAATTCAGGAATAGATAGATTATTAAGATACGGGTGCTTTATATCACTAATCAGGATAAAAGCAACAACATAAGACTGCCTAGAATATCACAAGTTGGTGGACTGGACTTGGATTCCATGTATGGATTCAAAAGGAATTTGCTGGAGCATTTTTTTTGGCTAAATTTGCTAGAGCACTTTTTTCTTTTGGTGACAAATTTGCCAGAGCACTTGAAACATTGATTTCCTCCCCCTAACTACTTAATTTTCTTCTCAGCCACTTGGTTATATCCTTCGTACACATACATGAAATTCAAATCTTTCCATCTTACGGGTTACGATGTTTATGTAAAAATGGAATATTAGATATGGCAAAAAAAATGCAATGTTAGAGTTATCCTTAGAAATAATTATTTTGTTTTTGTATGGAAGTCATTTTCCACTTTTAAGCGAAACAAAAAGACGCACACTGTACTTACTAATGAAGGAATAATTGAAATTGGACTATATATAGTTAATAAAGGAAATCTTAGGATTGAGTTTAAAATTAAATTAAAGAAAACACCCGGTATGAGCATTGAGTTGCAATTCGTTATTTATCCATCCCATCTGTTTCTTAGGTTAATTCATTATTTCTGTTTGATTATTCCCGTCTCCTATGCCTATCATACAAAAACACTCTTTGCATTGAGTATAGATATTTGTATGCATAATTTTCTTTGAACTTCATAGATATTTACTATATTGAATACAATAAAAATGAATATAGATGAAATTAGTTTCAATGATTTGATAACTTCTTATTATGTTGTTTTTATTTTTAATGGGATTCTCTCCACCAGGCTCTCCTTTTAAATTTGTATCTTGAACATTTTATCTTTTACTACTCCGTCCCTTATTATAAGATCATTTTAACTAAATTGTGTAGTTTAATAAAACAATTAAAATTAGCTAAAAGCAATTAATATGTAGCAAATGTAGTTTTTTTTAAAATATACCTCTATATATAAATGGATAAATGTGAGAGAGTAATAGTGAAATAAATGAAAAAATATAATGTATTAAATACATTAAATTAAAAGTAAAATAGGTAATACTATATTAAATATTCAGACAAACTCAAAAATGATTTTATAAAAGGGATAAACCCATTCAAAAAATTGAATTTTATAATAAGGGATGGAGGGGGTACTTTATAGTATAGCTTCTTTTTATTGAAAAAATTCAATGATTCAAATTTAAAATATATTTAAACTAAAATGTTGTTGCCTTTTGTATTTTAATCATTTAATTATATACTTTTAATAACTATTTATTGATAAAGATATAATGAGTTTTTATGATCCAAGTTTATGTCTTCGTCACAAGTTTGTTCAAATTCATAGGCTTGACAACCTTAATTCAATCACACCAACGACATGCAGTTGAATCCAAGTTAGAGTGGTTAATCAAAGTTGAGAAGACAAAGTACAGAGAGGGAGAGGCGATGTCAAGACAGAAAAAAACATATATTGAGGTTGAACTTGAAAGAGAAGGCGCCTAATAAGCCGCCCTTAAGAATCTTTGAATCTAATTTGAAGTTTCTTGAATGTAATCTCCGTAGATCTAGCCCTTCAAGCAAGAAGCCAAATTTGTCCCCCTCAACATTTAATGCACATTTTCTACACAGATTTTTTTTAAAGAAAAAAAATTAAAAACAAATTCCACACTTTTTTCAAATTTTCGTTAATCATACGGATCATACTTGTGTTTTGCTTAATCATGAGAACTTTCTTTCTATTACTATCACGAATTTTTGTGTATATTTCATCTTTTTGAATGGATAAAAAGTTTTTCATTTTTCAATATTTAATTCGTTATACCAATTGGTTCCCAAAAACTCAATTGAATCCTGAATAAAATTCGAATTGAATCAAGTCAAACCGTAAGTAGATAAAGCTCTTCCAAAGACAAATATCTATCTAATTTATCAGTTCTGAAAATAAAAGACATATCTACTTGTGGTTGAAAGAGAGACAAGATGAGCAGCCAGCACCATTGAATATTAAAAGAGCCAAGTGGGTTTTGTAGTTTTCACCGTGTCATGGCCGCATGAGTCAGTTAGAAAGTAACATCTAATAGGTTGTTCCGAGTTGACAAACTTTGTAGCTAACCTCTGATTAACTTCTCTTGATCAGGATGAGGATAACCAAAGACCAAAGACCAAAGACCAAAGACCGAGTTGAAAGGGCCCTTCATTCTCTGTGTACGAAATACTATCTTCAATTCTTAATAAAAGAGTTAGATAACTAAATTACAAATATTAAGAATGGTAGTTAAATTAGTTATCGTAATAAATGAGTGATGCCTTCCTTAAAATACCCTTATTAATCATATGTATTAGAATAAAAATCATTTAACATGTACAATCATCATAGGGGCTACTTTAAATAAATAAATAAATATAAAAAACAAAACGGATTGGAATATTATATTTATGACCAAATTAAATCCCTAACTAGCTCTTATATTTAGCATTGGAAATAACAGCATTATACATAATTAAGCCATAACAAAAACCTAACTGCTCATAAATTCCGCATAGAACTCTTAATGATACGGCCGCATATATGATATAAGTATTATATATATGTAGGTGTGTGTGTGTGTGTGTCTGAGTGTGTGTTTATATATTCGATAGCGTGAGAATGGTGATGAATAAATAAATATTTTAGAAGTTTGGTATATCCCAGACAGGTGCCTTGTGACTATGAAGCAACTATCATAGGCTCCGCTTGGTTTGGACGAAAAGGATTTCTCTTTCACTGGCTCATTGCATGATAATTGAGGTTTAAACTACTTTATTATATTTTTGCAATCAGCACCCAATAACAACTTTTTTTATATTAATTTTTGTTTAGAGACATACGATATATTTCACATTTACAAGTTAGTTACTAATTTTATTCCCGCTGTATTCTGCATGCCAAACCACCCCCCCCAGGACTCTGAGGTTGACTTGTTTTGGTCCGCAGAACTCCCAAGTTGGAATTGGTCAAAGGTGGGAAGGCATTAGATAACTGGGGCAAATCACATTGTGATGTGGAAGGAGACCAAGTGATTTGACGTGATTAAATATAAAAATTGGCCCCAAATTGGGTTTGGATTTTTAAATACCATATTAAATATGTTACCTTGGATACTCACGAGTCTCGTTTTAGGTAGACAAACACATTCGGTGTCTTTTATATTGTCCTTTGTCTATGGTCAACATCCAATTATGATGAGGCAAAAGGTTTGAATATTAATTGGCACTCACATTTAGAACGCATTCCTTTATTTAATTTTCTATTTGTGGGCATTGATAATGATGGATGAATTCAGCAGCAATTTTATCATTTGTTGCCACAATCATACACTTTAAAATTTTAACCTTCTATGCTTCTCTAAATCATGAGAAAATAAAACATAGTGATACAATAGATGAGAGTATGTGAAACTCGCTTTGATTGTTATTTCACCTCAACATGAATGAAACTTCCAGACTGAAAAAAGTTTTAAATGCATATGAAGTGAGAGGAAGATAGAAGCAAGATGGAGTGAGTGAAATTTTTTTTTAAAAAAAAAAAAAAGTGAGCCTCATAGACCTTATTACTCATGGGTGCTTTTCCCTCAGTACTTTTATGCTCTTTATTTTTTCAAAATTAAGATATAACGTATAAATGTTATATTTTGAAAAGATCTAAATTCGCGAAGAAAGAGTTAATTTAAAAAAGGAGTTGCAGGGCATCTCATATTGGGTTATTAAAAGTCGTATCTTATTGTCTATCACCAAAGCTTACCAAAAAAACAAGACGCTTAAATGTACTTAAATGATAGGCCCAATAGGTATTAGCCCATTACAAACCCAAAATATAACAAAATGTTGTTCAGCTATTCCAACACTCTTTTTCGTTTTTGTTGCCAAAATTGTTTTGGCCCAATAAGTTTTAGCCTTCCGCAAGATCCAGCCTTTCAGGCATCCAATGTAGGTCATCTGAGTCAACTGCAATGAGAAATTATATGGTGAATGAGGAGAGTTCCACACACTCAATGGCGCAGCCCCTCTCCTTTTTTATTTAGTGGCTACAAAAAGAACTTTTGAAGATAAAGATGAATGATAACTTCAAAATTTCTAAACAATAATAGACACCAAAGCTCTAGATAATTCAAAACTCGAAATCTAGATAAAGATAACCCCCAAATCCAAAGTTCCCACTTAGATAGGTTCCTCAATGTCATGTTGCTTTTGCATATTAGGATTTAACAAATTTTTTTTGCAAGAGTGAATCATGAAATTTGAATAACAAATGAGAGGAAAACCTTTCTGTTCTCTATGCTTTTCCATCTAAAACTGTCAAGGAGCATCCTATAATCAGAGGTTATGAACACTTTTGAATGATGCTGTCATGGTTTGACACGATCATTTCATTCTTCAGTTATCTTTGCCTACAAGGATTTAGCCCATCTTAATGTTACATCTAGAAGCTGAGGGATCTAAATTCAAGGACTTTCTGCTACTTTATGAGGTTCAAGGATATCTTACCTGCATTTTATTGAATAATCAAACCCCTGTTTATCTTCATGCCCGCCGGGGGTGATTCGAGTGGCAAGCAAGCTTGAACTTAGTGGTTGAACGACCAAGGTCAAGATTCAGTCTTGGAGGAAAAAAAAAGAAAGGACTTGTAGGGAGGGACAGCTTCAGTCCTAGGGGTGACATTAGTCTCACCAGTCGCATCCCAAGGTTGAGAGAGAAATGTTACTTTTGTGGTTTGTGTCCACACACTTATCATTTTTCTTAATTTTGCCGCACTGGTTACATAAAGTTAAACCATCTTTGAGTGAAACAGACTCATCTTTAGCATCGTCCTGCTGCTTAGGAACCAACAAATGTCAATGTTGTTTTCCTGGTTTGAAATATGTCATATGTATCTGATTTGGATAAAATTTAAGATTATATCTGGTTTTACATGATCTGAAACTACCCGCTTTTCAAAAAGGATCAATACAGTATTGAGGTGCACATAATTCAAAGTTAATTACAAAAAGCACTGCAGAATGTTTAGTACTTAAGATCCAATTCAGTCCCAGATGGTTATACTAGTTATGCCGAATTTTTAATCTCCCTCGCGCGCAACAATTAGTAAAGCATCGAAAAAACTCCTTTTAACATTCCGCCCTTAGTAACCAATCTCTAATCTACGATCCCTCTCGATTAGCTCGCATTATTTTTCAGATTCACTGGATGCACAACAGGAGATTGCAGCTATTTCTGGAATATCAACATCTACCATAGCCGCTTCTGATATCACCAAAAGTCTAAAGATGGAACCCTCTATAATGATCACCTAGCCCCTAATCCCTACAGGTAAACTCATCTGTTATACAGAAGTTTGTTCCCTTTCCCATCCCTCCCCCCGCCCCTCCCCCCAAATACATCTTCCTCTAGAATTTTTCAGATACCCTGTCTCACTCAGGACCAGAAGTCCCACCACTGGTAACCGACAGCAGACTGGTCTAAGAGTTCATCAGAATCAAAAGTACGCCAATGTTCTGCTGAAGTCAGGGAATCATCTGCTTGCTCCACAAAATTCAGAAGAGTAGGCTCATCTTCAAGGCCAAAGTATTCGGCTTTTATACTGCTGTCATCATCTGAGAGAACACCTAGCACGTTCTCTGATCGCTCCATTGTTGAGCTTGGATTTTCCTCAGGTTTCACTCTAACGGTGTCTCCATTTTCTGATACACTGTCCATACTGTTTGCCGGTTTGACTTGTGTACGGCCCTGAGCTTGGTCGTTTGGCCTCTGTATTAGATCATTCAGCTTCTGCAACTGTTTTGACATTGAATGAAACTAGAGTCATTAACCTCTAAAATGAAAAGGGTAGATTTCTATAAATGTCCCCGCTTCCAGAGCAAGGAGGAAAATTGAATTGTAAAATCTGTGTACCTGAATTAGCAATGCCTCCTTCTCCTTCTTCAGAGCTTCGAACCTTGAAGCCAAGCTGGTATAATTAGCTCTGAGTATGCTGTAGTCTCTTTCAATCTGCTTGGACTTCCATCTTGCCCTCTTGTTCTGGAACCAAATAGCAACCTGCCTCGGCTGCAACCCAAGCTCCCTTGCCAGCTGCACTTTCTTCCTCGGCTCAAGCCTGGACTCTGTCTCGAACATGGATTCCAGTGATCTGATCTGGTCATCACTGAACCTTCTCTGGATTTTGTTGCCCTTCCTCTTCCTCGTGACTCCTCCTCCTGACGGAGCTGTGCTGCTATACGCCTCTGCTTCTGCAACTTCTGGGAAATGAGAATATTCCATAGCATGCTGATCTAACATATTGCGGGGGGATTCACGGTGGCTTCTTGCTGGTTGTTTAAAGAAGTCGGATCTGAGGATAGGGGATAAGGAATGTTTTTGGGAGTGCGTGCCATATGATGTGCATGTATTTATTAGCTCTCAAGTATGGGAGCTCCTACCATGGGTGGTGTTTGGGGGTGAGACACAAGTCTTCAATTTCTGCTTTATATCCAAAAACCAAACGAAGTCCTATTCAACCTATCAAGTTTCTCCACCTGTGCCTCACGAGCATCACTCCTCTTTTTCTTCCTCTGAATGAGCCAGCTTGTTTTTGTTCGGCTTGGTTTGAGTGGCCAGCTTACTTGGGATTATAGTTTCTTAAACGACGATTACTGCGCGATCATATTATATTGCAGCAACTGGACGTAATGATTTGTTTTATTTAATGACACGTTTTTAAGGGTTTATGAAATAAAAGGACTGAACATTTAAATATTGGCTGGGACTTCATCAGTGATGTCATGGTATTTAGCTTGAGGGTCATGGCCCTAATTAGTTATTGGCTCCATGAATCACGTTCTTCACCCAATTGTCTAGTTACATTAGCCTTGCAATGATTACAAGTTATTTATAAATCTCCTCAGTTCATTCGAGTTTCATCTTTTTTATTTGCCTGAAGCAACCTCATTTCGCATGATGCATGTTCTTACTTTTAATTAATTTCCTTCCTTCCTTTCTTACTTTTTTTTTTTTTCCTTTTCACAACTCTAACTAGGAGTATTTAGCAAAGGTAAAAAGTGCTTTTTAAAAGTACTTTTTAATAAGTTGAGATAAATTCTTTTAAATATTTATTTCGTATACCGTAAAAATACTTTTAAAAGTATAGTTTTGATTCCATATAAATATATTTTTGGTCTTAAAAGATCAAAACAAATTGAATTTTAGTTTTAGTCTTGAGAAGGCATCTGGGAGGGTGAATTTAAGAATGGAAAACTGAACAAAAGCCAAAACGAGGGATGAAGCCGAAGCTGGTGGCTCAAGAAGAAGACAGAGAATGGAGTGGTGAGTCATGGTGGGGATTAGGTGGAGTCCTTGTCAACCTCGCGACCATTTTTTAAGTAAGAAATTCCCATTCCTTATCATTAAAAAAAAAAAAAACACATATTCAGCCAACGAGATAAGTTGCCCTGAGACACAAATCTGTCACCTGTCACATGTCACCCAATACGGTGTTGCCACCTGCACGCGGTCAAAACATAGTATCTTCTTACGTCGTCTCTTCCTTTGGAGTTTTGGGTTTTCCTCTCATGACGTGGCGCGAATCCGATGGCGGTACTCACAGAGCAGATCACATCTCCCCAACATGTGTCGGGCTCGGAACGTGATATCGTAATTTGTTTGGGATTCTGATTTGTGGGACAAGTATGTCTCACAGGTGTCCGTCTTAGTGGGCTCTACCTGCTTGACACGTAACTCCCTTCCCTTTGTCTTTTCCCCAAGTCTCCAACTTTTAGAAATGCGAAATTTTAAATTATTTATATTAGCTTTTTGAAAAAATATGTAAACAATTGTTATCACTTGATTAATTTATAGTTTATTGGCATCGCCGAGGACCCAATTAGGCTTTCAAAATGAATCGTTAAATTTGAGTGCATAATTAGCTCAAGAAACTGAGAAGTGAATATTAAAAACGTAAATAAGATTACATTTTGAGAGCTCGTGTCGTGGAAGAAAGAAAATGTAAAATATTCAAATCTGTATAAATATAGAAAATATTCTTTTAAGAATTGAGTTTCATTATTTAGGTCTCAACTTCGCTTCAGTCTAAATTAGTTCAAGAGTAACATGATTTTATTAGCGTGAGAAAAAAGAAGGTAAAGAGAAGATTAGAATAAGAAAAGAAGACAAAAAAGAAGTGAAAGAGGAAATAGTATTACACATTAGATCAATTAAATGAATTTCATTTAAACAATTAAATAACTATAAATAACATATCACATGTACGCACCTAGTTCATGTGTTTTTTTTTAAAGACAGTATAAGTATGTGTTTTAATTTTTAAGAAATATGAACTCATAACATCCAAAATTCGATGTCTCTCTCACACACGGGAAAAAAGTTAGTCATATTAAATCGCTCTGCCACTGTAAATTTATGTTGAAGTCATTTTATAAAAATGAATATCATTGACTAAGCTAATTAGCTAGAATGAGTTTTGACACAAATCGAACTCAATACAAATTAAATCTATCCACTTGTTTTATTTGTGTAGTGTTTAAACAATAATAAATAGATTTTTTTTAAAAAAAAGAAGAGTTTGAGTGTTAGTCCTTAATTATATTGCTCCATATAAATTAACGTGCTAACTACAAATTAACACTTTGACTAATAAATGTAAAATAAGATTATGTCCAATATAATAGGACCCTCAGGTACCGGAGCTTCTAGAATACGAACACGAAGCCACTTGTTTATTTAGTATTAACTTCGATATATATAATTATAAGCATGAAAAAGAAAAATATTGAAGGCGGTTGGGATAACTGATAAGCATGCATGTGGTGGGTGGAAGAATTATGAGATAATGGAGTGATGGAGATTCCAATGAGGGAAGGACATTTGAGAGGGCTTGAAAATGAACAATATTCTCGTACTATTTTGGAAATATTACTGTACTGTTCTAACACAAGAATGTTTCTTTGTTTCTTTCTGTCCTCTCTTTCTTCCCTCACTTTCACATTCTGTACACCTAATAACTCCCATGAAAAAATCCAAGTCCTCCGAGCAGAGGGGGAAGATAAAGGGAGGAGAAAATGTCGATAAGGACAGTAACATGAGAGGAAAAAAGGAAAAAAACTTTTGACTTCAATCCATATCGTATCAGAAAGTGGCGGTTGCTATATGAACGAAGCAATATTTTGCGTATGGCTAAGTATGAACGAGAAGAAATTTACGGGAAAAAGCGACCAATCTCGACTTGGAGAGTGGCAATGAAGCTATTTATGAAATTAGTGTTCATAGGATTGAGATGTCTTAAAAGGTTTGGTAAGTTCTGGCTCATAAGAAACTGAAGCGTCGCGCTCTGTACACTCGGTGTCTATGCCAAGAGGGTCCCATGATTCGTCATTGAATTTCAAGTTGTTACGAAATTTTGTTACGCTTTTACTTTCAACCTCTCGCGGTTTAATTTGTTATGTAATATGACGAGCTGGTGCTATTTTATTACACGAATATTTAAGTTAAAATTGTAATCGGAAAATACTGTCACTGTCCATGCAATAATCTGTAATTATGTGTCTAGAAAAATAAATATTTTATGCAAATTAATTAACTCTCCTAAGCGTGCCCATCACATGACTAGTTTTTAATCTTCAGTGATACTAACCCCAAATAATGGTTGTAGAGATCTCTTAAATGTGTACTGACAATAACATATGCATGCAAGGAACATGAAAGTAAACGCTGAGATTTCTCTTGTTTTTTTTTTCATTTATTTAGGAAAAAAAATAGTGAAGTGGTAGGTAGAGGACGATAGAATTTTGTTTTGATTCAATTATTTGATGTAATGAACATTCTTGAATAGCAACTTCTTATTTATAAAAAAAAATAATAAAAGGGTTTTGAAAATGGCTTGTGTGTGTGTTCAACAACCTAAACTTGAGAAATTTTATCGTGACGGACCTTGTGAATTTGTGACTTAAAACTATTTTTAAAGATCGAAGACTTTAATTTTGCATTCAATTGAAGGAAAATATCTTCATAGTATAAAATTGAGAAGTGAAATAAGTTAATTATTATTGTTAGTTCTTCCCTAGTAAATAACATAATTTGAAAATGAAACCAAACAAGTTTATTTTATGAAGAGTTATCAAAGTTAAAGAAAATTCTCTGATTCTGAGCCTTTTACTTGTTACTAGCTGTACTTAATATAAGAAGCATAGATAACTAATTTAAGGATATTAAGAAAATTTTTAAAGTTAATTATTTGTAACAAATATGCATTAACTTTTTTAAACTACCATATTTAATTAGACATATTGAAACTATCATTTTCACAAATAGAATAAGGCGTGTTTTAGGGAAAACCCAACAGTGAGTTCATAAAACCTAGCGGCATGAATGTGAGTGCGACTGAGGGAGACGGCGGTGGAGAGCGAGAAGGCGACGAAACACGATGGGGGAAATATACTTCGAGAAGTTCGATCGGGGAAGGACGGCAACCTGACCACAGATTCTCGTATAAGGATAAGCTACTAAGTCTGGGCGAATCTGGATTTTTAGAAGCCAATATGTCTGCTGTGGATGCACTAAATGGATGGAAGGACTACTTTGCAAAGCTAAGCGGCAATAGTCATTCTGAACAGGGTGAGGAAGAAACGGAGAGAGAAGACCCACAAGCAGTGGAGGAGGGTTCATGGACAAAAACCGGGAAATTTCCCACGCTACCCGTTTCAGCAGATGAGTATGCAGCCTGGTGTAAGCCTTATATGAATTCATTAATCGTGAAACTACTAGGAAAGTCCTTTGGAGTAGGATTTATGCGGCAGAGAATGGAGCGTATGTGGAGTCGGTCGAAATCCATCAAGGTTACACCGCTGAGTAATGGATATTTTATTGTTTCATTCTCGACTAAGGAGGACCGAGACTATGCACTACAGGAAGGACCGTGGATGATAGGGGACCACTATCTGCTAGTGCAACGTTGGCGACCCAACTTTAACCCCTGGAAAGCAGATAACCAAAAGAGAATAGCAGCCTGGATAAGAATCCCGGACCTACCAGCAGAACTCTACAACGTTGAATCTCTTCGGCGCTTAGGAAATCTGGTAGGAAAAACTTTGAAGATTGACAGAACCACAGCCTTCTCAGAAAAAGGAGGATTCGCAAGAATTTGTGTAGAAGTGGACTTAGAAAAACCTCTACTCCCTGCTTTTGACCACTTTGGAGAAAATCGGAGAATTGAGTATGAAGGTCTACACCTCATCTGTTTTCACTGTGGAACATATGGACACCGCATGGACAAGTGCCCAATGAAAAACGAAGGACAAAACTCACCAAGTACTGCAGCACCTGTTTCAGATACCACCCCAGAAGCCGACCCCGGCAAAGCTCCGGTGACTGGGGAGGAGACGCAAACTAAACAGAATCTTGGCGAGACTGAAGGCGGAATATACGGCCCTCATATGATTGTGAGACGGGA